TACCTGCCAGAACTCAAAAGATGATGTGCAGGAAGTGGGCGCTCAAGTCATTTGCGTACGTTTCTTTTATTTCACCCCATTTCGGGAGCTCCGAGACATCGTAGGGAATTCGCGGAAAAGCCTACAAGTAAAGGAGTGTTATTGTGTAAAATAAACACCGACTCACAATAACCCTAATCCCCATATAATATTCGACTTCCACGGGAATTCCATATGAAATATCGCAGCCTCCGAGATTAGGTGAAATAAAAGAAAAGAACTGTTATTTGAGCCCTCTCTCCCAATATGAAGGGGTTGGGGTGGGGGGGGGGGGGGTGGGGGCAAACACTTTCACACACCCTCCAATAATTTTGTTGAGTAAGCTAAACAGTCCCATATAATCATGTAAATAAATTATCTTTATAAGTTTTTTATTTTGTTTTCTCACCTAATTTTATTTAAAATGTATTATATTTATTTACCACAGGCATGTTATTATTATTATGCTCTTTAACTAAATTTTGGCACCTCCATCTCCCCTCATTGCTTTGAAAATATTTATGTTGGCTGCTGAGCCCCCCCCCCCCCCCCATCACCCTTATTTTCTCTGTCGGCGCATGTAGGGATGTAGTTAACATCACACCGGTCGCCTTTTTTTCCCAGGACATTAGATGGTTCGTGTAAGGCTGGGTGGACCTTGACGTCAAGGCACATTTTGGAGAGAGAAATATACTTTTTCTTTTCCTTCAAAAAGAAACATCTGTGTTTTCTCAAAAATATGAGCCATGTCAAAAAAGACTCAGAAAAAAATCACGATGAACAATATGCAAGAAACAATCTTTATTCATCACCGGGACATATAGCGTGTACTTTTTACAATTATTATACATAGAATACAGTTTACATTTTCAAAGCGTGTGTATACAATATAATTAGGCAACAAATTCTCTGTGATATAATTCAGTGGCAACATTGACCAAATGTCATAAAATATATTTATCAACATACATTTTGATTTACAGCCAGCAGCGTAACAGGAATTAAGTATAAACACAGCAAGACCAGATAACAGCAACAGTACTGTAGTTATTGCATGAAATACAAATAATTAATAATTTAATACACCTGGTATGGAATTTTATTATAAACGATTGCAGGAATACGTGAACAAAACATACAGATATTTTGGGGGGAGGATAAACTGATGGTCTACTAGGAATATTTATTCAAATAAAAAAACATATATTAATGAATGAGTGATAACAAGGTTATTTGTATGTAGCAATTCTCAGCTCTCTGGTGGCTAGAGAACAAGATGCATACACATGGCGTAATTGTAACAGACTCTGAACTCATGTTGAGAAAGGTGAAGACAGGGATGCTTCGAGCAGAGTGGCAAGCTTCACTGGAAAGGCCACGGGTGGTGAGCATACTTTGGATCTTTTCTCTAGGCCATGCCGGTGGGTAATAAACAGGCAGACATATTAGCTGGATCTGCACCACTGGGTGGTGAATTGATACATGACAAGGCAGATGTGGTCAAGGCCCTTTGGGAATAAGCAACAGAATCAGTAGAAAAACAAGATTATTATGACCTGGAGAGAATGAGGCACCTGGGTGTAACCAGAGAGCTGGCCGGCTCACTACACTCAGAGGAAAGGCAAGACGGAGCTATAACCAGATTGTGACCGGTAACATCAGTATTGGAACTCTGCGCTGGCAGCTGAAGATAAAGACGGAGCACGCATGAGAATGCCCCGAGTGCTGTGATGTCAATTATTGACTCAACTCAACTCAGGTTTCGCAGTCGCCGTGGTCTAGCGGTTAGACGCTCAACTGCGGATCGGGATGTCGTGGGTTCGCCACATAGCGGAGCCAGACTTTTTTCAAAAATAACCTTGGCTCCAGGCCGACACGGCCTTGAGAAGGTACCAGATGCAATCCTGGGAAGTAAAGGCTACTGACAGGATGCTGACCACATCAGCCATCTTGTGCGTTTGGTCTATAAAAATATAGGTCGTGCCCAATATACCCAATACGCCCGAAAGGCGTGGAAAAGGGCCCTTTACTTTTGGTTTACTAATTCTCAGTTTCATAAAATTGAGATCTGTAACACTGCTACAGACCAGTTTAATCAATGTAGAACATAGTGATTTACAGAACTGTTTCTAGCAAACTCCATTAGACATAACTATACATAACAGAAGCTCCCCGTGTGGGTTCCGGGGCCCTATTGTGGGGAAAACAAGAATAGACCCACTGCCTCCCCAAAAGCATGTCGCAAGAGTCGACTAATTTGGGAGCTTCTTTTGAAGTCGGAGTGCATCTGCCGGAGAGGCAAGGAACCAACAGTCTGTATTCAAGAGAATGAGATCTGTAAAACTGATGCACACGCAACACTCAGGTTCTGGAGCAGGACTGCAGTTCAGTAGTGGACGATCAACCAGAACTTTCCGCCAGAGTGTACAGCTGGTGAACGCGAAGAAGAAGAAGATAAAAGAAGCATTACCATATCTCCCACTTGTTGCCTCTTACACGACAAGATTAGCCGGACTGACGAAATGGTAAAATTGCATCCACTTACGGACTGATGTTCAACCCAACCAGGACCTCACCTCGAGCGACCAACACCCGGTGACACAAACTGCCACCATCGTTTGGGATTCACCCGGGCGTAAGGATCCCGTTTAACATTTAGGTTATTTTTAGCCCCCCCCCCCCCCCCCTTTTCCCCCTACCCGACAATAGCCACAAATTGAAAAAAAAAAAGTTGCATCCTTTACTGGGTTGTATTAAAACTGTGTCTTGTATGTGTATGTTGTTCAACTCCCACCAGGACCTTACAACCAGCAACCAACCCCCGGTGACGCAAAGTGCCACCATTCGGATGAGGATCAGCCGGGTACAAGTCCAAGAAAAGGTTACGTTATAATATAACCAGCGATAAAAGTATCATGTCTGACTTTTCCCACAATAAGTCTTTAAAGTTGTTACAATAACGCATACATATGCGTGTCTTAAACAAATCCACATATAAATGTAATGATATACATAAAGACATACAAAGAGCATATATCATCAGAAGACGAGTAAATGATTTCAAACAATCACTGTTTACACAATTATGACTCCTATTCTTATATTTGAGCAATTTACAAATGATTGTCAAGATTTATCAGTTCCTTCCTTTCAAAGGCACTACACTTTCTCCATTCACTTTGTTCAAGTCCCTCTTCCCATTTATCCACCTCTCTCTCTCTCTCTCTCTCTCTCTCTCTCTCTCGCTGATGGAAACTTGAATGCCTGACACTAAGTGACTAATAGAGCCTCTATTCGGATGTCAACCAAACAGAAACAGATCCCAGATCAAATGTTAAACCGTATATAGCAGTTATATCGGGACATCTTACAACAAATGCATATAAGGTACCCAGTGTGGGCAAAGGTCACGGCAACTGGCACTCACATTCAAAGAAAAGCAGCATGTTCGTTCTATCAACAAACACAGACTTGTTAAACAACGGCTGGTGTCGTATCTACTGCTGTGCTACATACAGCGAGCCGTGTCAATATCTGTCACGGATACTTTTGACTGAGACATTTAACTTGTATTTAACAAATGCTTTATTTACAAGATTCTGTACAACTGTCTGACATCGTCAAATGTGATAAACACAAACACCAACGACGGGGCTGAGTGGTCTCGATGCATGGCGTCCGTTTTTTAAGACTGCATTTTCTGACAGCGGTTTAGAGAAAGGGGAAGTGGGACGGGTGAGGGGTGGGGTTTTCAATTATCTGGGATCTCGTGGCTAATGGAAATGTCATGAATTATGCAGGTTAGGAATTTCTATTCTCCTCCGGAAGAACACATGTCATCAGGCGACCGTGTTGCCCACTGACTCGCCGGTGGACGACTTCACGTCGCCGGTTGGGACAATATTTGGGCCTATTTCCTGTAATCGCATCAACACTGCAGGAATCCTTGTCAGGGCTCTTGGTAGCGTGCAATGCTAAATCATTTTATATGGCGCACATAACCACTATACCGAGACTTAGAACTTGGGTCATGTAGTTGAAAGCCTATTATCATTATACCTGCCAGAGGCATAGAACACATCGTGTGGTTGTCCTGGCTCAGTTTTACGTTAGTGTTTATATTGATTCGTAATAAGCCAGAACAGCCTTTTATTTTTATTATTCTATCATCAGCTTCAACATTCCCAGTTTTTATAGAACCCTTGCACCATCGTCATCATCAGGTGCCTTGCCGACTGGCGTGGGCGATCATGCCTCTCCATAATCTCTTGCAGCATATATCAGTTCGTGTGCTGACACACCTCCATGCCATGCAACAAGACTGTCAAGAATCTTCTCTCGTTGTCTTCCTCTATCCTTCCTTCCACAGATCTTTCCAGTGGTCACAACATGTTCCATTTTCCCTCTTCTCATAGCATGGCCGAAAAATGATTTATGTCTCCTTCTGATGTCTGTCATAAGTTGTCTTCGGGCTTCCACCTCTTTTAAAACCTCTTGTTTGCTCTTTCTGGCTGTCAAAAAATAATATGTTTCAATAAAATCATCTTCTGTAAATCCACATTTACAGTGTCATAAACGAGACTTTGAATTATCTGTTTACTGTTCGGATGTCTGCGCCACTTAGTAGTGTTGAACATATACCGGGTTTTTCCTCTAGGCAAAACGCTAGTATGAGCTATTATGCAACCCCTTTTAAAACGGCATTTTGTTTCTTCTTCTACTCTTCTTCTTCTTCTTCTCCTTCTCCTCCTCGTCTTTTCTCTACACTTTGAATACCTCGCGGCGTCAGGACAGGAAGAGACCTCTGGTACGGGTTCAACTATTCCCTTATTCGTTGTCTACCTCTAAAGTTCAGAATTGGTCCTGTACCGACTCTCCTCCTGATATCATATCATCTTTCAAAGCTTGAAAAAAACATATACTCTATCAAACACAGAATCTCTGATTTAACGGGATATTTATCGACTGAAGCATTGGCCTCATCACAAATTACTAGTATCCTCTTTATTGCTGTCGTCTTGTGGTTTGTCTTCTTCTTCGACACAAATACACATGTCCTCAATGGTTGAAATGTGTTTGAAAGAATCGAGAGAGATATTAGCTTTGGGTAAATTGTGTTCCTTGTCCAACCGTTCTTCCAGATTGATAACTTCAATAGTGTTATTGTTCTTGGTGTGGTACGCTGGGGGCTTGTTCTCCGGTTCGCTGCTAGCCGGTGCGTCGATCTCGATGACGTAGTCCAGGAAACCGTTGGATTGGATGTCACAGTTGTTGTACTGGACGTGGCGCATCTCCTTGTCTGTTTCTCGGGTTTTCTCCGCGAAGATTCGCTCGTACATGACCGCAGCCAGGATGCCCCCTGCGATTGGACCGGTCCAGTACACCTGTGTACACCATAGATACAGTTGTAACCACAGCTTCAAAATCAAACAATAAACTTACTAACAGTATACATTAAAGTAACAGATCCCTTTGAGATTATTCGTTCTTCTAGTGTCGACTAACGGACATAAATCATAGACTGCTATTGCTAAATCAATGAAATTAAAAAAAAATATCTGAGCTTTTGGAATGAGTTCTTCTTCTTCTTCTTCTTCTTCAGCATTCCGAGCCCGTGAGGTTTAGTGCTTCAGATATCACCTGCCTCCATTCATCTCTATGGTTGGCCTTCTCTTTCCAGTTGGTGACACCAAGTGTTTGCATGTCCGTCTGAATATTATCTCACCATTGTCTTCTCGGTCTGCCTCGTGGTCTATGACCATTCATCTCCCTGATGTATACAGTTTTTACTTCTCTATCATCTGACATTCTTTCAATATGCCCCAGCCATTTCAGTCTATTAGCTTTTATGACGCCAGTAATCAGTGGTGGTTTAAACAAATTATGAATTTCGTTGTTGCTTCTCACTCTCCATTCACCGCTGTTTGCATCTTTGATTTGAGAATAAATGACTATAACAAAATAATTGTTTGAATGTCATGGATTAAGAAGAAGAAAGCAAACACATACTGCATGATCGGAGCGTCAAGAAGAATTTGCTCATAAACAACATCCTGTCCCGAAAGTTGGGGTATTTTGTCCATGTTAAAAGTCAGGGTGGCCCGCAGAGAAAACTGTGATGGACGGTAGTTTCCATAAAAAGAGGCACAATCAGCGCCTGGCGAATAAGACAGAAGATACTGAAGATGTAGTGACAATGAAAGCAACAGGGCAGGAGAATTGGCTAGAGAAAGAGATAGACAGTCAGTGACAAGGGCAACGTTCTTTAAGGGACCTGTTGACTGACGATAAAAGAACCTTTCAGGGCAGCATGCTACTTCATGTCCCTGTAACAGTGCTCCAGTATTACTGTTTAATACCGCTGGATTGGCACAGGAATAGTTGTCTGGGCAGTAAAGCTTCAGATTGTAGGCCGGAGAAGGGGAGGGGGTAAAAAAAGACTAACAGGCCCAATGGGCGAAGAAGGGGAGGGGAAATAAAAAAAAAAGAACACTAACAGGTCACTTAAGATATCCTTATTCTCTTTAAGACAATACGGCAAAAGGTAGACATCAATGCAAGTGGGAAGACCCACTAAGAGATGGACGACTAGCGGTCCGATAGAGTGTTTAAACAAAACAAGAGACAGAGTGTGGTAGAGATCATTACAGCCAACCTTCACCATGGAGACGGTGCCAGCTTGAATCTTTGACTCTTTCTTTCTTCATCCCATCATACAAGGGCAGCATATTATCATTTTGTTTAAGCTGGCACACAGCATCATTATCATCCTCATGTAGTAGGTCCCTTGCAATACGTCGCTCTCATCACAGCTTGCCGGAAAGAAATGGTCTCTCCCCATATCTCCCGCCTCGTGCACTCTCCCACCCAATATGTAACTTATATCCTGTGTTTATCTTAGCGTTGGTCGGCTCCTGCCCCTCAGTTATCGAACCATGTCATCTACTACTATTCTTCAAAATCCATTGTGAAGCGTGATGTAAAAATGATCACTGGACCTCAGGTAATCGCAGAGTTGAGATGAGTTTATTCAAGAACCGACATCACATCACTCAGGGCGTTCCCATAAGCACTCTGTTCCTTTCTTCAGCAGCCAGCGCAAAGTTCCAGTACCAATAGTGCCAGTGGCATTCTGATAATACTTCCGTCTTGCCTTTTTCTCTGAGCGTCAAGTATAGGCCAGATTCCTGCGTCATTTCCCGCTGCACCACTCTCACCAGACTGGTGATTCATTTACTTCTCCGAATTGTACACGTTCTCCCCAAAGGCCCTAACCACGTCTGCCTTATCACACATCAACATTCCACCCAGTTGTGCAGAGCCAGCCAGTCTGTCGGTCTCTTCATTTCCCGCAAGCCGTCATACCCCAGATAATGCTCCTCACCCGCGACTTCGGAAGCGAAGCATGCCACTCCACAGGAAGCTTTCCTGTCCTCACTGTGCTCAGCATCCTATTAAAGTCGATTACAATCGCAATGTAAAAATTGTAATCGTAATGGCAAGACACCACTAAGTTCTGTATACTGCTGTACAATGCGTTTTGTGTTTAGTGGTAGGACACCAATAAGTTGTTAGGAACATGTCTTTATAAAATTTGTTTTTCACTTTTATCAAGGAGCTCCAAAGTATCCAATTTCTCATCTAGAGTAACTCTTCAAGTGTGACATGATTGACTGAGACTAAATTTGAAGTTTTTGGAGCTCCTTGGTGGCAGAAAAATAGATAAGATAAAAGTGAAAAACAAATTTTATAAAGATATGTTCCTAACAACTTGTTGGTGTCCTACCACTAAACACTGAGTCAACCTTCCTAATGCCGCGACTCTTAAATACAGTTCCTCATCTTGTGGTGTACCCCAACCGTACAATTTTTTGTTGCTACTTCAAAGCTTAAATGAATATGTGTTTCCGATGGTCTTGGGCGACCCTTGTGAAAGGGCCGTTAGACCCACAAGAGAGTAGCGACCCATTGACTGAGAACTGCTGCTCTATGCCATGATGGCAAACTGTTCAGCATCTTCCTCTGTCTCCCATCCCCCCCCCCCCCTACCAACTTTCCTGCTGTCATGATGAACTTCTTACACTGCCAGCGTACAAGACGATAGCAGAGTTTCTTATTTCTATCATCATCATCATCATCATCATCAACATCATCATCATCAACAAATAGCAGGTCCTTTGTAGAACGTCGCTCTCATCACAGTCTGCCTAAAAGAAACTCGGTCTCTCGCCAGTTCTCCCTCCTCATGCACTTTCACACTCAAGGAGTCACTTATATCCTGTGCCCATCTTCGTGTCGGTCGGCCCCTGCCCCTCCTTCATGGTACCATGCCTTCTGCTATAATTTTTCCCAATCCGTCGTGGCGCTTTATATGACCTGATTTCTATCAGAGATCGAAAATCTTCATTTGAAGACAACGCGTATATCATCATTATAAGCTATCGCCGTCTTAAACTATCATCACAATCACTAATCATGTCACTGTTTTTGTGTTCCTCATGAATATGAGTAAACCATACAGGGTTTTGTCGCTTTGCCCTCCTCTTGCTCTTTCTCCACTAATTTTGCCAGGCGTTACCAAGTTCCCGAGTCCATTCCTTCTTACAACATGTCTGAAAAAGACCAACTGTCTTCTTCTTCTTCTTCTTCTTCTTCTTCTTCTTCTTCTTCTTCTTCTTCTTCTTCTTCTTCTTCTTCTTCTTCTTCATCTTTTGTCGTCTCACTGATACCAGGTTGTAGCCCAGTGTCGAAGTTTTCTGTATTTGCCCTGCACTTTTCGGGTGGCTTGAGTGATGGATTTGTTCATCTTTTGTCAGGTTTCAGCTTCACCGTTTATCTATCTCTTTCTTGATCTGCCTCTCGCCTTCCTCCAAGATGTTCTGCTGTTAAAAAAAAGTCATATACGCAGTTTGGTCTGGCTATATTCCCACTAGATTGCAGAACCAATTGTCTACATAAAATTTTGCTAATCAATTTACGGATTTCATTTGTCTCGAGTTGGACTATATCGTTTTTACAAGTATTAACTAATCGACTGTTACTTACCCAATGATTGTCCCATTTGCCTGCGAAGATGGTTGGACCTAAGGCTCTTGCCGGATTCAGGCTGCCTCCTGTAAGCGAGCCCTGTTGATAGGCAAAAGATCATGCATAAAGTATATATATAGTAATGGGCGGGAGTAAACAAATTAAGCAATAATCATATCACCGGGTATTCCCAATTCCAACTTTACAGTGAACGAGCTACCTCATAGTTGCTCCGCTCTTCTGGCTTCAAAAAACACAGAATGCCCATCGCTGTGCCCTGTGAAACAAATGAGACAGAGTGCAGTCTCAGGAAAGCTAATAGCACACACACGCCATCAGAAGTGTCAACACAAAGAGCCTGGCGCTAGAAATGCAGTAGCAGTTACAATAAAGCAGTACCAGCACACGCAGTATCACATAAAGCACCCCCAGTTCTGAAGCAACAGGCTACTCGCAATTTTCTGAATCTGCGGTTCACAACACAAACCACACTAGGCATAGCCTAAAAGCATTCCTAATGAACTTCACAGCTCACAGTGTCGCGCTGTGCACTCAGTAGCTGGGCGACAGAACTATATTCTTTCGGTCCACATAAGGGAAAACTGGTGGACAGTTTGACATCGTGACATGGAGGATCATCTGTGTCAGAGTTGATTGAAAGTACACGAGAGAGAAGACTATGGACAGACATGACCAGCAATGCCACACAGCATGGACTTCAAGAAGAAGATAGGGGAATTTGCAATGGCTAACCATTATCAGGAGAAAAACGTGCTACGACTAAAAGCAATAAGCCCGCCTTTCTGCTATATTTGGCGGAAAGTCACTAAGCAAGGGGGGAAAAGAAGAATGTGCAGATAGTATGTGTTTATAAGAGAAGAAGAAGCAACAGTGGTAGTTTAGTAGTTTTTGGTTACATGAGAGAAATAGCAACAAAAGAGAAACAGCACACACAAAAGTGCATGAGTAATTGTAACAGAATGAAGTAGGCAGAAGAGGACAACAATGGCCACAAAGACGACGATACAGAAAAAAAAAAGATAAAGAGGAGGACCAGGAGGAGAAGGAGAATAAGAATAAGAAGAAGAAGAAGAAGAAGAAGAAGAAGAAGAAGAAGAAGAAGAAGAAGAAGAAGAAGAAGAAGAAGAAGCGGCAATAGTGGTAGTTTTCTCACTACCGTGTAAAAATAGAAATAGGAACGGTAGAAAAATTAATGGGGGGGGGGGGGGGGGGCGGGTGTCAGTACAAATAACAAAACAAACCACGCACACACAAAATCTAAAAGGTAAAAAAAAAAAAAAAAAAGACGACATTGACGATATTGACGACGACGATAAAGAAAGAAAAACGTCAGTTCGTAAATAAATAAATAAATAAATAAAGACAGAAAGAAATAACAAAAAAAAAAGAAAAAAAAAAGATGGAAGACAGAAAGAATTAAAGAAAAAGTCAAAGAAAGAAAAGACAGGCAGACAGACAGACAGACAGACAGACAGACAGACAGACAGACAGACAGACAGACAGACAGACAGACAGACAGACAGACAGACAGACAGACAGACAGACAGACAGACAGACAGACAGACAGACAGACAGACAGACAGACAGACAGACAGACAGACAGACAGAAGGACCGGGTAATGCATTATTTATGAACGTTTCCATGACAACTATCTACTTACCATCCATGTTATCTGGGCAGTAACACAGAAGCCGATAGCCAGGGCGATGGAACCGCTGTGGTCTGTCCGTAGTCTGTCACAGCTGGCGAAGACGGTCATCACCAAACTGAAGGCCGCAAACATCTCGATGATTACGCCCTGAAAATAAGTTAGAAATATTTTAAATCTATGTTTAACACAAAGAGCTAAAGACATTATTTGTTTTCATTAGCAGTCTGTATATCTACAGTTAAAAATCTAATGTCGCGAAATCTAGTGTCCTCCCCCTTTTAATCACATTTTGTTATGGAGGCGGGGGCGGGGGTGGGGGGTAGGAGTCTGTCCTATCTATGTCTGCTTGAGTGCGTGACTCCCTGTCCAACTACCCGTTTGTCTTATCTATCTGTCTGAGTGACTTCCTGTCTAACTACCCGCCCGTCCCATCAGTCTGTCTGCGTGAAACCCTGTCTAACTACCCGTCTGTCTCATCTGTCTGTCTGCGTGAAACCCTGTATAACTACCCTTTGTCTCATCTGTCTAAGTGAAACCCTGACAAACTACCCGTCTGTCTCGTCCGTCTGCATGTCTGCTTGTCTGCGTGGTATCCCTGTCTAACTACTTGTCTGCGTGCCTCATTATCTAACTATCCGTCCGCCTCATCTGTCTGTCTGGAAAGTAAAGAGGGCATATGTCATGCTGACCATGTCACCCATCAAGTGCGGATTTGTCTATAAAATATAGGTCTAGCCCTATACGCCCAATACTGCTGAAGTGCGAAGTTGTCTAATCCTACTGCCAAAACTTTTTAAGGACAATTCAAAGTCTAGTGACTTTAGAATCATCACCTTGGAGAATACACTTGGCAAGGTCTTGGAGAAGATTGCTGTAAAACTGCAAGACTTTTTGGAATGGGGAGGGGGGGGGGGGAAGCCTCTCCCCAAGGGGTCTGGGTAGCTACAGGCCAGGAAAGTACACATGGGCAAATGCAGCCACTTTTGCTTTTGACGTCAATGAATGGTTCCAGAACAGACAGGAAACGATAGCGGCAGCACTGGATCTCGAGGATGCGTTTAACAGAGTGAGATACGAAATTTTGATGACAGCGCCCAAAAAAACAACATGGAGAAGAACGATAGAAGTAAACTGAGTGATACGTCTCTGACACGGAAAGCCCTCTCTGAAGCCTCATGTGCCGCTAGACATAAAGAGAAAACTGATGCCACTAACCTGCCAGTCGGCTACTCCTTCAGCCAAGGAGGGACTGCCATAGCTGCTTCCCAATGAAAGCGGCAGGATCAGCCACAAAATGGTTGCTCCAGCAATGCTGCCCGCAATCTGGCCTATTAGATAGCAGACGCACTGTGGAGGGATAAGAAATATACATCATTAAAATATATCCAATAAACGGATTGTGCTTTGACATACATTGTTATTAGGGATTTAAATGTGTATATTTACATGGATTTGCCGTTTGTCGACTGTTTTTCTTTGTATGCGTTTGTCAGAAGCAAGAAATGGCAGAGTGAGTGGGTACAACGCTGGGCTCCCATGCGAGAGACCTGGGATCGAACCGCTGTAAAGAATATAGCTTCACTGGTGTGGGGCGTACAATAAAATATCCCAACCAGTACAGTTCGTAGCGACTGCACTAGCCCTGCGGCCGTAAACTTCAGGTTCAAAGCACTGTTGTTGGGGCATACATCCCATCCTTCTGCTTAAAGTCCATGCCGTTTGGTGTTGGTAGTCATGACTATCCACAACCTTCTGTCTCGGGTACTTTCAATGAATTCCGACACAGGTGATTCTTCATGCCATGATGTCAAACTGTACATTTTCTTTTCTCTCGGTTTCTCTCTACATCTCCTCCCCTCCAACTTTCGCACTGTCACGATTACACCTGTTTTCTCCTTCTCATCACATTACCCATTTTTTGTGCAATTTTCCCGGGACTGTATATAGAGTCTAGTCCAGCACCGCTGGTTTGTCAAATCGGCGTTCATCACATGACCAATATTCGGTGCAATTTTCCCGGGACTGTGTATGGAGTTTAGCCCTTCACCGCTGGTTTGTCCCATCAAAGTTCATCTCCGGGTTCCATTTGGACGTTCTCACTTCCTCAATCCATTTATTTTTCAGTATCAGAGCCTCTTTTTTGTGATTCTTCAATCTTCTGTTACTTATAAATGTTGGTGTCTGAGATTGTCCAGATATTTTTCCGATTTCGTCATGAAGGAAATGATGAAAAAGAAGACTTTCTTCAGAATACGATTTTGAATTATTTAATTGTTTTTTAATTCTCCAGCTTTCACTGGTATGTTACAATCGAAATAACGTAGGAAATGGAAAATATACCATCAGTATCAAGTGCCTAGTCGACTGACGTATGCGATCATGCCTCTTAACAATTTGCGATCTGCAACTGCATGTATCAGTTCGTGTGTTGACACCAATCCATGCCAGGACAAAAGGCTGTCAAGAATCCTCCCGGGCTGCTTTGCGCTGTCTCTCTTTCAACAGATATTTCCGATGCTCACACTCTGTTCCAGTTTCCTTGTTCTCGTACCATGACCACAAATGCTGATTCGCCCCCCCCCCCCCTTTCCCCCTAATATTTGTGATAAGTTGTATTGCAGCCCTCGCCTCTATCAAAACAACTGCGTTGCTTTTTTTTTTTTAGCCATCAAATACATTCTAAGGATTGTTCTGTAAAACCCTATCTCAGAGGCCTTAATAAATTGTTCAGCTTGTCAATTTAATTATCCAGGATATACAGCCGTATGTTAAAACTCGCTCTTTATAGGATGCGAGATTTCTTTTCCTAACCTCCAAAAACACGGATTTATTGCAAAAAATGTTCTTTATTTTATAAAGTGCAATTTTGACTTGTCTTTTTCTGTTCATTATCTCTATGATAAATCTTTCGTCGGATATTATCCAGGTGCCTAAAAGTAAAAGGTCCTTTTCCCCGCCTTTAGGCGAAATGGGAATATATATTTTTTTAGACCAATCCGCACTTGTTGGGTAATGTGGTCAGCATCACACCGGCCGCCTTTACTTCCCAGGACTGAACCTGGTACCGATACAAAGTCATTTTCTGAAAAAAAGTCCGGCTTCGGCAGTCGGGCGTCTAGCCGCCAACGGCATGTGTACGTGTCCTAAGATAAAGCCGCTGAAGTTTACATTGGTTTTACAACTGCGACCCTTCCATATTATTTGCCCCTGCCAGATCACTCTTCCCCCTTTTTCCCCTATCCCTTTAAGGATGAGTCCACAGATTTAAACATTGTTTACAATTCAATTTCCTTGTAAGGATCCCAACTCCACTTGGAGGAAAAGGAAGAAAGAGAGGTTGGGGAGGGAGGGGGGGGGGGGGGGGTTTCAGACCCACTTCAACCCAACAAGTATGTCACAAAAAGCGACTAGCTAGGACAGTGGTTCTCACTGCAGCCTAACAAGTATGTCACAAACAGCGACTAGCTAGGACAGTGGTTCTCAACCTTCCTAATGCGGCGACCCTTTAATACAGTTCCTTATATTGTGGCCACCCTCAACCATACAATTATTTTCGTCGCTACTTCATAACTTCAATGAATATGAGTTTTTGTGATGGTCTTTGTGATGGTCGTTCGATGAGAAAAATGGTCGCGACCCATAGTTTGAGAACCGCGGAACAAAGAACTGGTTAAATCCGCATGTGTTGGGCCGAAAGGTACACATATCTCAGCCTAGCTACAAAATGTCACCCACCCTTTTAAGGATGGACACAGAAGAAGACAAGAGTTACACAGTTTGCTGAGGTAGGTAAAAGCAGATGCCATGTCAGTGTATTTTAGAATTTCTATTCTTCTCTGATTATGCAGCCAACAACAAGTCGCTTGTCAAAGGAGAGGCTCCACAGACAACAAGCAAACAGCAACAGAGCAGGGAAGAGGGAAAAACAGGTCACCAAGACACACAATTGACAGATAGGTTCAGGAGAGATGAGAATTTGTTGGAGAGGTGCATCACGACCTGGGAGAACAAGACTTCTGACCGTAACCAGTGGAGATGCACTTGACTCTGGTGCATGGAGATTACTTCAACAAGATTGGGGAGAAAAGAACCCGCTATAGGCAATGTCGGTTGGCGTGTCTAGACGGTCCTTGGTAAGAAGGTACAGCAATTCATACACATAAATAACCAGGAGGAGGCTAAATCATACATATATTTAACGATGTGGCTGTATTTTTAAACATACACACATCTGGATATGTAGTTGTGTTTCAAAATATACACATATCTGGATATGAGGCTGTGTTTTTAAACATACACACATCTGGATAATAATAATAATATTAAGAAGAAGAAGAAGAAGAAGAAGAAGAAGAAGAAGAAAAAGAATAATAATAATAATATTAATAAGAAGAAGATGATGATGATGATAAAGGAGAAGAAAAAGAACAAACAGAAGAAGAAGAAGAAGAAGAAGAAGAAGAAGAAGAAGAAGAAGAAGAAGAAGAAGAAGAAGAAAAAGAAGAAGAAGAAGAAGAAGGAGAAGGAGAAGAAGAAGAAGAAGAAGAAGAAGAAGAAGAAGAAGAAGAAGAAGAAGAAGAAGAAGAAGAAGAAGAAGAAGAAGAAGAAGAAGAAGAAGAAGAAGAAGAAGAAGAAGAAGAAGAAGAAGAAGAAGAAGAAGAAGAAGAAGAAAAAGAAAAAGAAAAAAAGAAGAAGAAGAAGAAGAGGAAGAAGAAGAAGAAGAAGAAGAAGAAGAAGAAGAAGAAGAAGAAGAAGAAGAAGAAGAAGAAGAAGAAGAAGAAGAAGAAGAAGAAGAAGAAGAAGAAGAAGAAGAAGAAGAAGAAGAAGAAGAAGAAGAAGAAGAAGAAGAAGAAGAAGAGAAGAAGAAGAAGAAGAAGAAGAAGAAGAAGAAGAAGAAGAAGAAGAAGAAGAAGAAGAAGAAGAAGAAGAAGAAGAAGAAGAAGAAGAAGAAGAAGAAAAACATCAACAACAACAAGGAAGACGAAGGAGGAAAAAGAAGAAGAGGAGGAGAAAGAAGAAGAGAAAGAAGAAGAAGAAAAAGCTTCTCTCTCTCTCTCTCTCTCTCTCTCTCTCTCTCTCTCTCTCTCTCTCTCTCTCTCTTATGTGTGTGTTTTTTTTTTGGTGCATTTATGTCTGTGTATCTGTATGTGTTTTATGTTTGTGTGTGTATGTAGATGTGTTTGTGTATGTATTACGTATGTCGGTATATGAGTGCGCATGTATGAGAACGTAGGAGTATGTATACGTTTGTGTTAGTGTGTACGATTGTGTACACATGATGTGTGTATGCATTATTCTATAATATTTTTATATTATATACATAACATGCATTATTGATAACAGGCATTGGTACTCTGAAAAATGAGTGCTTAGAAGGGCCGAATGTCAGACGGGCCTGCGTACCCAATTTGTAACCCTTTGAAAATAAAGTTTGTTTGTTTGTTCGTTCTCTGTCTCTGTCTGTCTGTCTCTCTCTCTCTCTCTCTATATATATATATATATATATATATATATATATATATATATATATATATATATATATATATATATATATATATATACACACAAACATATATAGAAAGAGAGAGAGAGAAAGAGAGAGAGAGAGAGTATTTAATATACCCAGAATGGAACCACCTACCTTTAGAACACTGATGTGGCCGGTCACCAAGAATCCAATAGACACACTAGGATTGATGTGGCCTCCACTGATGTGGCCGAACAACCAGATCCCCATCGACACCGCCAGACCAAAAGACATTGAGACAGCCAGATCCGACCCGTCTTTTGACCCCAGAGTGGACGCGGCCCCACACCCAACGATCACCAGCATGCAAGTGCCCAGAGCTTCTGCCACAATTGCTTTGGCGAACCGCATTGTTTTGATCTCGTGCGTGCCCAGTACATCTTTGAACGAGATCATTCTTCACGAACAACTTACGTAACCAGTCTTCAAGACTTTTATCGCTAAAGGCAATTTGTTACAAAGGTATGAGCGTCGACCGTTTAAAAAGCAACTGCACACTACTGAAGGTAAATTGTCCAATGAAATCACAAAAACCAAATAATTGCCTAGGATGGTTTTGCAGCGTCTTGTAAAGGATACCTAACTCACACGTTTACAAACGATAAACTGTCTAATTCGTTTTAAAATAACTAACTGTTCTTCTTATATATCGTATTTTCTTAATCAACTGCTATATTTTTTGTTCCTAACTTCAGCGTTAATTCCGTACCGTTAGCTCGGATACCAAGTTCATGAAATGAAATATTTGTTTCGTCACCTTAATTTAACTTTTCATTAACCAATCAATCACGTCAACAGTTACGTTTTAGGTGGGTAATTTTAAAACCTGGAATACAGGTCTTGCAACGATGGGATGGGTGATAAACTTGCGGCTCGGTGACGTGTTTGTAGTTTATATACCTCCAACAGATGCCCGGCGATAATTGTTACTCCACTTACAAAATATAGCCATGTGTTCGATGGCCCTTGAAGAGTAGGCAAACCCACGATTCATTATTGTGTGTTGTTGTTTTGTTCCATTCATTGCGTCCTGTGCAAACGTTTGACGCTGATTGTGTTTAGCAAGAGGGAGAGAGGGTAAAAGCATGTTGACGCGGTTAATACAAACGTCAGTGGTTTTGAAAAGAAACATAAATAATTGTGTGTAAAGTACATGTCACAGCAAACAAAAAATGACATTCTAAAATAACGGCTTTTCAAATATTACATATTTTTATGCAATATCGGAATGAAGTTTCAAATCGTGATAGGTTTTGTTGCCGATTATATACAGGTAATGGAATTAGCAGAGCAGATAGTGCCGCAGGGAAGTCTTATGTTAAGTCTTCATATATGTTAGTTCGCCGTGTGGGTTCCAGTGCCCCCTGCTGGGGAAAAACACATATCTGATTGACTGACACCTTTCTGTCCTTCCAGACGATATTGTTACATTGCGTTATGAGGAGGGACGGGACTCACAGCCCATGGCAATGGCGATTGTGACTAGCAAATCCGTCCGCGTTAAAAGAAGTCTTTTACAACTATAGCATGGAATTTCAGGACTGTTATTGACATGTATTTTGATCTGTTTCTTTTCAGACGCTCAGTTCTCATCTTTTCTGCAATGATCCTTCCTTTATATTCATTCCCTTCCTGTACCACTTACACATAACACGGTCCATGACATTTAATTCACATGAGTCCGCCTCAATACCTGTATCATTCATGGGAACTCGCGGGAAAACCGATTGTAATGCCAGACAAAGCAGGTAATGACGGGCACCTGAATAACTTTTTTTCTGAAATTGGATGTGTTGAGTTAAAAGTCCTAGCTGTAAACAACAACAAAACGTGCCGACTGCCCTAATAAGAGGGAATGAAGAAGACACACACACACACACACATATATATATATATATATATATATATATATATATATATATATGTGTGTGTGTGTGTGGGGGGGGGGGGCCTAGTGAGTCCCAAGCCCGGGGGTGGGGCCAGTTTTCTCATCCTGTAAAAAAATGATTTCCTAAAGAAAACGTTGTCGAGAGAGGCCACAGCTGCCTGGATGGATTCCACCTATGATACTGAGTCAACTGCACAGGACATAACAGAAGAATAGACGGCGAGCCCTATATGATATATAACGGCATAACAGGATAATTAACGAATGAATGAATAAATGAATGAATGAATAAATGACTGAATCAATGAAAGTAAAGGACCCCTGTGACGCCAATGTCACTCAGCTCATCCGTCAATAAAGTTAATCCCCACTAGGCCTGCACATTGAGCGATTAACACCAGGTGACTCAAAACGTCACCATTCCAATGAGAATCCACAAGGGACCAGTCATAGCCCCGTTTAACCGTAAGGTTATCCAGGAGCCCCGACCCTTACAAAGTAACCTGAACTCAAGACAGGGCAGAGCTTATGATTGTAGACATATTTTTATAGGCTGAAAGGTGTTCTGACAAAGAAAGCCTGCATATAATATTCCTCGTTAGCTTGAGATATTCTACATTTAACTTCTTAAGCAAAACTTGTATCTGTTGTTATCAGGGCACACAAGTAATGGGACGTTTACATATTGGGTCATCGTACAGCCCTGTTGCTGACTAGAAGACTGGCCAACTGGTCCGTGTCTCATTATGTTCTCCATGTACCTAACTCCTGGCTCTCAAATCTATCCAACCTAATATGAAATGCAAAAAAATGTACATTCTTCTTTCTTTCTTTCTTTCTTTCTTTCTTTCTTTCTTTCTTTCTTTCTTTCTTTCTTTCTTTCTTTCTTTCTTTCTTTCTTTCTTTCTTTCTTTCTTTCTTTCTTTCTTTCTTTCTTTCTTTCTTTCTTCTTCTTCTTCTTCTTCTTCTTCTTCTTCTTCTTCTTCTCCTCCTCCTCTTCCTTCGCGATCAACAGTTGTTCGTCCACTTCTGAACTTTAGTCTTGTCCCAGTACTTAAGTTTTGTGTGCACATACATTTTACAGATCTGGATTTTTTGTTTGCAGACTGTTGGTTCCTTGCATCCCAGATAAATGCACTCTGATTTCGAAGAAAACACCCATAGTTTCACGCCTTTGAAACATGCTGTTAGGGGCAATGTGTCTGTTCTTCTTTCTCCAAAATGGGACCCAACGGGCAGATAGATTGGCTGGTTCTGCGCCATCTGGTATCAAATGAACGAACGAACGAACTTTATTTTCAAAGGGTTACAAATTAGGCACGCAGGCCTGTCTTACATTTTCCAAACTCTTATCCTTCACACAGCAGTTGTATTTCATCAATAAAGCATGTTATGTTCATGTAATAATATGCATATTATAAATAACAAGTCAAAAACAAAAGCATGGGTGGTGAAATATGTACGCACTCACTTGAGGCACAATAAGCTAGATATTTTAAGAGCTGTTTGGAAGCGAGTGAACAGCGTGGGAGCACACGACGATCACCATGTTCTGTGGAGAGTGATACAACGAGGAGTGGCCAGGGAATCTGGCTAATGGTAAACACTCGTTGGAGGGGCGAGACGAATCGTTACTGGTAGAATCGAAACTGGAACTCTGCGCTAGCTGTTGAAGATGGGGTCGGAGCACTTGTGGGAAGGTTCCCAATACTATGATGTCAGTTTTCAACTCATAACTCAATAGGGCCCCAAAAGCCACACGGAGAAAGTGTCCCTCACAATAGAAAGTGCAAGCTACACTATACAGGCACGAGCAAGCCCACCATCGGTACAAGAGACCTTCGACAGCATCCAAGTGTTCAGTGAAAGTCTGACAGGTAAAACAGCGGTGAGGTTTGTTCTGGTCTGGTGACCTACAAGTAGCGTTTACTTCCGTATCTTTCAATCATTCACTCCGATGGATTCTAATCTCTCTTAAGACAGGCTTTCCGTGACGTTATGACATAATGGGTGCATGAGTTAAGCAACCTGTGATATACTGTGGATAGTTTTGAAAGCTTTAAAAAAAATAATAAACCGGTTGCAGTCTCTACGATGAAGATCCGTCTTCGTCTTCTGCGTTCATCTGACAATGTCCGTTCACAGCATGGCTGCGAAAGTTGCGCATTTCGGCCGACACATCCGATCTCGGGAGGCATTTGTTGACAAAACTAACACATGTGCAGGACACGAGGAACCTCTCTTGGCAGTGATGAAACGTCGCAAGCAAGCTTGGTTCGGGCACATGGTGAGACGTGATTCGATGGCAAAGACTACTTCAAGGAACATTAAGTGTAGTCGAAGAAGATGAGAGCAAAGAAGAACTTGGAATGACAACATCAAGAAATTGATAACTTACCATACACTTATTCAACAAGGGGAAGATAAGAGAAAAATAGCGGGTTTTGTGTGGATGAAAGGACTGGTCATCATTACTTGTGATGGACGAACAACACCCCGACAACCTTAACGGGTCAAGGGTTACGTTGTGAAATGCTGTTGACCGGGTTAACCTTCCAGCTTTGTGTAGTGGGACACTGCTATCTCATTGCCTTGTGGTCACCTGTGTGTCCTTCTGTACAGGTGGTGGCTCCCATCAGGTCGATCCAGAGCAGTCACATAATGTTGGTCAGCCCCCACGTGAGTGAAGTTTAACTCCACCAGGACCGCACAGCATGCGACTAACTTTCCGTGACACAAAGTGCCACCTTTTGGATGAGAGTCTTCTAGGCGCAAGTCACAGAAACTCCGTTTAACTGTTAGGTTATATTAAGGACCCCGACTTCAGCCGAGGTGGAGCTTTAAAATAAGAAACAAACTGTAAGAGGGGATTTAGTAACACTCAAGAGAAGGCAGGGAATATGAGCATTCCCAGCTATCCAAGGAGTCTTCCATAAATGCTGAGCCAATACCTTTTGTGCTGATACTGAAATCACTCGAGGAATCGTCACGTCCTGCAATGAAGATTTACTGTAACAGGTCTCTGATATTTTATGTCTGTTTCCTTGGATGTACCTTCTCACAGACTGCTGATCGTTAGGCTCTTTCCGTTATCCTCCCACCTGTTTTCCTGTCTACCTTTTGCCTGATATTTTCCCCGAAATAAAAAGGCTTACTTTTGGGTGTTACATAGGGAGGTTAGCATAACAAACAACCACAAGAAATGGTGTGCATTACTGTAATACGAGACAAGGCTGTGGAAGTAATTAAAAGATTGCTGACTTAGCGCAAAGTTTAGCTCTGGAAGCCCAATCGTAATAATAACATAATTTAAAGAGACAGGGTCAGAAAGGACGATATCAGGAAAGAAGTTGGGACAGAACCGGTAATAAACCCAATCAAGAGACAACAGACAAGTGTCTGCCAAGGGTCAAGGCTACCACCAGATAGTGCGCAGCAGAGAGTCCTGTTAATGTGACGTACTGGAAACTTACTAGAGGTCTGGTAATCTGGTAATCCTAGTTTCAGC